TAGTAATGATCATGTTTCAATGAAACTTGGTACATAGTTACTGAGGACTGTACAGAGACCTAATTAGTTTTGGGTAAATATTTGTGCATATAATCATCTTATTAGCATAATTAGTTAATTTTCAGCTTTTCACTGATATCTCAAGTACTAATCATCACATTTCAATGAGACTTGTGACATAGATATTCTAGGACTATGCAGAGACCTGATTAATTTTGGGATAAATAATTGTGCCTATTAATTACTAATTTGCATAATTAGTTAATTTTTTGCTGTTCTATGGCTGTTGCACTGATGTCTAAAAACCACTCATTGGATTTCAATGAAACTTTTAATGAACCTAAGACTATGCACCATATTAGTTTTTGGTAAATATTTATGCTTCTTAATCACCTAATTAACATAATTAATTAATACTGACATCTCAAGTATTGATCATCACATTAGAATACAACTTGGTCCATAAATGCTCTAGGACAATAGACAGCCTGATTAATTTTGGGTTAAAATCTGTTCATATTAATTCTCTAATTAGCATAATAACTAATATTTTTTTGGTTCTAATCACATTTCAATGAAACTTGGTACATTGTGCAGACCTTATTAGTTTTACACTTAAATCTGTTCATATTAGTTGCCTTATTCCATCAATATCTCAAGTGTAAGTAATTTTGAATTAATTTTTAATGTGTCTCCAAAACTCTCAGCACAAGGGAGTTCTTTCTAAGCTTTCTTTGATTTTTTTTTTTGGGAGTGTCGTTTTTTGCAACACCGATTTTCTCAGATTTACCAGGATCTGCTCAAGATTTTCTTGAGTTTTGCAGCATGACGTGCATGGTATTGCTAAGTTTATGGGGTCAAATAATCTTAGCAGTCTTGGCAGGAAAAGGGTTAACTTAAACATTAGATTTAACAGTTTTTGTGTCAAAAATGGCTGTCAATGAGCCATATTTTACCTAATCCCAATAGGTGACTGTGCACTCATGGGGAAGTGACTGTATACGCAATTCATGCAAGAGTAACCCTGACACAATGAAAAAAACAAAATGGCTCCAGCTGGCCATATTGAATTATATCACAAATACATTATAATGTGCACCTGCAACCCACATGTACTCATCGTATAAAGTTTGATTGTAATTAGCCTAGTGGTTCCCAAGGAACTGTTGCAGACACATACAAAGATTAGAATATAGCAAATTGTACAAGAAATGGCTGTCAGTCACGTGGCATATCATCCTATTAAATAGGGTGAAAATGTTAACACAATAATTTGTTCAAAAGTGCTATTTAATTATAGATTTCAATATATGCAATAGCCTTGTGTTTTTACCAGGTACAAATCATGATATTAAAGAAAATTGTGTCACAAAATGCCAAAAATTAGCATTTTTAGAACAAATTTCTTAGAAATCAATATACATATGAAGGCATTATTTCATGGAAAATAAATAGCATTTCCAAGAATTTTCTAATAATTTGTTACAATCAGAATATCCCATTGTTTATACTATTTTTTTTTTTGCACTATGTCGCCTATGGATATTTTCAGATGTGATGAGATCTTTTTCCCATAGAAACCATTGTTAAATGGCTCAAACATTGCTGTGCTGTTTTCATGTGTTTTTTAGCATTTATTTTTACAAGAAAAGTAGTTCCATTACCATATGCTTTTATGCAAGTTTTGGGAACAACATAAAATAAAACCATAAAAATCATGGAACTCTGAGCAGCTATTAAATAAAAGTAGCACTCTTCTAAAATGGTCACAGGTTATTGTGTGAATATATGAATTAATGTTTTTATTTGTTAAAAATTCTTTTTATGAAGCCCTGAATTATAGGCTTGGATAGTACATGTAGCTGAGGATGTTGACCCTAACCTTGTTGTAAAAAATCTCATCTTTATTGGAATTTTTGGTGACCCACCATCCTGATACCATTCAGTGTGCTGCAGTTTCTCTTGCAATGTGATCCAAAATGATGATGACTGTAAATACTAAATTTGACGATGATACCTACGTCGAGGTCAATATGGCTGATTGTAAACACTCAATTTTATGTGTATGCTGCAGTTTCTCTCTTAACATGATCCAATATGACTCA